GGAGATATGTTTTGAGAGGGGGAAGGGGAAGCTACCCGTACCCTAGCCGATAAACATGCTTCCCCAGGTGACACAGTTGGGTTGAGGACAGAGACGAGAGGGCTGGGGGTGGGAGAGCTGGCTTGTGGCTGTGTCTAAGAACGGGGGACTTCAAAACACATGAACAATGAGACATACTCACTCAAAGAAATGGCCATACACTTAAACATAATGTCTTCTTGATGTCACATCCATTTCTTAAGCCCTTAAAGACTTTATCATTATTATTATTATTATTATTGGCTGATTTATCTTATTCCTGCATGGGGAAAACTGAACCATAGAGTGAAGGAAGTCTGAGCCCAAGTGTCATTCTGTTAAAATGAAAGATCAAACTGATCCTAAAATGGACAAATTAAGAGATCATACTGGCATACATTGATGTACCAAATTGATTCCCCTTGCAGTGTCTTACTCAGACACTTGAGATAAAATCTTCAGGGCTGTGACATTCAGTGAAATATGGCAAAGCTGGGCAGCAGGGCTTGGGGTCCCCAGCACCTGCCTGTCCTGGCTGGTGGGGTGAGTGGGACCCCAGTTCTCAATTTAGGCCTCCCCTGCCTCCCTGAAGTGGAGGCAAAAGATTTGGCATGCCTCACAACATCCATTCCTGTACTTTCCTCTTTTTATCCATCACTACAACCTTTAAACGATAAGCGAACAGCTGAGAAAACACGGTTAGGCTAGGTGAGTAAAGTCTTTACCATTCCAGTTTCTTCTTCCTCCCCTCACCTCAACTTCAGCCCCATTTGTGGAAAGACAAAGACTATACTTAATGAACATTTGGGTCAGGCACCGTGCTAAATAACCACTTTTTGTGTCAAGTCCTTTAACACAGCAACCCTATGGGGTATTATGCCCATTTTATAGATGAGGAAACTGAGGACCAGAGAGTCCAAGTAACTGTCCTAAAGGTGACCAAGCTAGAGAATGCAGCGCTGGCTTGGAACACGGTCCATCTTCCATCTGAGCCCATGCCATTAACCACTCGGCCAGCTGCCTGTGTCGAGTGTAGGCCACTGAGACAGAGCTTGGCTCTGGTGCTGTACCGGTAACCGCAGGGTCGATGGTGACACTTGCCATCAGGTGAGGGTCATCAGGTTCTCTACCAGGGGAGAGCGGCCCCCTGGCCTTTAAGATGGGTCTTTATATATATGTGCCCTTCAAATATTAACTCATCCAACAAATACATGAATGGAGGGTTCTGATTCATTGGGTTCCGGGCAATCAGGGTTTTACAGTCTTATTTTTCCCTTGATTCTCTCTCATTATCTTAACTTCTACCCTGTTTTTTCTTTCCTCTGACTCCTCTGATCCTCTCACCCTCCAGGTGAAGTGTATGCAGTTTGCACATCTGGCTCATAGCTCCCCCGCCTTTTCCTGCAGCTCTGCACTCACACTGGGCTGCACGGGCAGAGTCTGGGCGTCCGATGCAGGATAGGAACCTGACAGCAATAGTAGTCACGATTTTTGAGCACTAATTATGCACTGGGTGCTCTAACATGATCGTTACGCTAATCCCCACCACAATGCTGACCAGGAAAGTGGGGCCGGGGAGACTGAAAAGCTTGACAAAGCTCACACGCCCAGCAGCAGTGGGACTGAGCCTCGAAATCAGCTCTCGCCGCCCCTCTTTCCCTTGGCCATGGTGCCTTCCTTCTTGTGAACAAAATGTACACAGCCTTCCCTGTGTCCTTCTTCACCCAGACAGCCATTTGACTATGCCCTCCTCCCCCCACCCCCGTTTCACCACTAGGGGAAGAAATTCATTAGCTCCACACATCTTGTAACCAAAGGAAGTAGCGACATCTTGGTAATTCCGACAACCTCAGGAATACGTGTATTTTCTAAGCCCAGACATCTCACTGTGGCTGCAGGGGGAGGGTGGGGTGGGCTCGGGCTGTATGGGCACCCCCACCTGGCCCTGTGGGGTCTGCAGTGAGGGGCGGCCCAGAGGGAGGCCGTGGCTGCCCCTGTGCTGAGTGCAGCCCTGGCGCTGGGGGCTTTCAGAGGCGAGACACTCTGTGCTGAACCCAGAACCTTCCCACTTAGCTAACTGAACGTCCTTGCCACACACACAGTCATGCTCCTCCGCAGGGGACAGCACCTCGTCTGACGTGCATGCGAATTTACAAGAGAAAATGATGATGGAGGGTTTAGCGGAGCAGACAGCACCACAATCTGGCAGCAGCTCCAGAGCCTGGGCCAGAATGAAGCTCTCAGCCAAGCAGGGAAAGCGCTCGTGATGCCCCGACTTCCTCCCTGCTGGGTGACAACTCAATGCTCTGTACAGGTGGCTGTGCTCAGAGGTCTCCTGAATGACGGAGGAGGGAGGGGCAAGGACCTGCCCGCTCTTGTGGTTTCCACCGGCTGCGGCATCATTTACACACAGCGGAGTCTCAGAGGAAAAATAGAAAGCTTTTTATTTTTTCAGAGGCTGCAAGGAAAGTAGAAGGACTTTTAACCCCTTGTCTATTTTAAGTAAGTTAAAAAGATGTGTCATTGAAAAGAAGAGCTATCCAGATGTCAAAGTTATTTTTAAGTGTGAGTCTAAACCGCATGGCAGGAAGCCCTTTAGCCTGGATGAAACCAACAGTACCGAAACTCAAACACTGACAAGGCCACTGGGCAGGTCAGGCTCGCTCCTCTCTTGCTCCCATTCACGGCCCTCCCTGGATATACGTATGCGGCCCTGGGGGGCTTCGAGATCACCCACTGGCAGAGGCAGGGGAGCTGAAGAATCTCAAACCAGGCTGCACGTGAGAACCACCCAGAGGCTTTAAAAACTATCCATGCTGAATCACCAGCCCAGAGAATCTGATTTGATTGATCTGGTGTAGGACCCAGGCATGGGCGTTTTTGGGGGTGGGGGAAGTGGTGAGCTTTCATTCAAAAGCGTTTATGAGAAAGTGTAAGATCCATATACTGATGTGCACAAATCTTAAGCACCCCGCTTAATGAATTTTTATAAATGAATACCCCTGAACCCCCCCAACAAGATACGTCATATCATCATCCCCCAGAAGCCTCAGCACAGGATTTTTAAAGTTAAACTCTTTTATTTTGAAAAAATTAAAACTCTTCAAGTTGCAACAATGAACGCAGCAAAGGTATTTTAAAAATCTCCCCCGACTCGAATATGCAGACAGGACTGACTGCAATAACGTGCTGTTTTTCCCACACTTCTGGCCACGGAAAGCCTTCAGTGAAGCACGGGCATAAGGTTTTAATATCCTGTTACTGATTTCTTAACCAGGTCACTATTTCTCAAGACTCCTTCAGCAGAGAAATTAACGTCTGCCTCAGATACATGTAACTTCGTTGTATTGTGATGGGTTTTGTAACTTCCCATGCATTGTTTATGAACCTCCCCTCTTTCGAGTTCTATATGGTTTAGGGAGCCCTTTTTGCTATAAACAAGAATATCTTATGTGTGCTGGAGAAAAATAAAGGCAGGGATCACACTAATTTTTTGTGGGTCAGCCACTGACTGCTGGTGGGCTCTGGCAAGGCCAGAGCCAGAAGCTGGAGTCCTCTACAGTTCACGGCAGGGACCTGTGAAAGGCAGGAGTCTGAGGAACTAAACACCAACTGAGGAAAAAAAACCCATAACAAAAGCAATCAGGCCCAGGCCTGGTGGGAACGCGCAGACTGCAGAAGCCAATCTGAGTTTTGATTTTAGGAAGGCCAGAGGGAGATCTTCTGAGACACATGGGAAAGGTGGACCAGGAAGGGGACGGCAATACTCCCAGGAGCCGAGGATCTGCGCTGTCATCAGAGGCTGAGACGTAGAATGAGGCTGGCCTCAAAAGGAATCCAGCTGCCGAGTAAAGTTGCCAAGTTGTGCCCTGTGAGTACCCGGCAGAGATGGTCATTGGGGCTGCAACTGTGTCCACCTGGACGAGGCACCTTATTTTAATTTGCACAAATCCACACATGGACTAACGGCAGCTCTGGGAGCAATGCTGGGGAAAGCTGGACGCTGCCCCAGCTCTGCATCTCCTTTCTGCGTCCTTTTACGTAGTTCCCAAGAAACAATTCCTTACATGGCAGCTAAGGGGCTTTTCCACTCAGAACAGCCAGCTGAGCGAGGCAGGGGTTAGATGCTGCCCTGCAGAGGAAGGTTCTGAGGGAGCCTGAGGTCCTCAGGTCCCAGACGAAGGAGAAGAATCTCCTGTAATTCCTCGGATGGTGGCAGAAGACAAGCTTCTGGTGGACACAGGTAACTGTGTATGAAGGCATCTTTGGCCCAGAAGTGACCAAAGAATCTAAACATGAGAAACCCATCACTTGAGCTTGGCACTCGGAACTCAACTTAAGTGTCTGGCAAAGAAAAGCGCTCTTCGGTCCAAGTAACCAATTCCTAATGTCTTATTTTTGTTGTTACTGTTATATACAATTTGGGTTTGCAGGCAATTTTTTCAGTTTATTAAAAGAAAGAGTGTGACAACGTGACTTTTGTAACTCAGTATGGTAAGAAATTACAGTGCATCTGAATACTAAAGGCTACATCTTCTCTTTGACTTTAGTGATGAATCCAATTCACTTAAGGTTGCTCCCTAACAGAACTATGCTTCAAAATGAAAAATTGCTCTGTTCTAAAACAAAATCAGACAAATAGAAAATAAGCAAAGATTGAATTTTTGAAATCTAATTCTTTAGATTTTGGATAGAAGAAAGAGTGAGTTTCTGAAGTCACATGTGGCTCTAATTTATACAGTATTCCTATTTTGCAAACTTCAGCCTGTCTGCATACACACACACACACACACAAACGTGACCAGAACACCTCCCCTCCCCTTTCCTTATATATTGAATTTGATTCCTGATTCTGTTAACCTTTCCCTGCATTTCACTGTCTGTGGGTGAAGCAAGTGGGGGCTTCTGGCTTCTAAGTAGGAGAATGCTGCTCAGCAACAGGAAACCTTCAAGGGTTCTGAGGTGGCGGGAACAGTAAGTGCTTAGGAGAAACTCAGCACGGGACCTGGGAGCAAGGACAGTCGAGTCACCTCTTAAGTTCTGCAAACTGACAGTCCATGACAAGACAGGATTCTTCCTGCCCTCAGCCCAGTGCTGAGCTGCTTCTGGCTGACAGGGCGGGGCTGACATGGGGCTCAGCTTTGGACCAGGCCCAGAGGGGATGAATAAAGGCACTTGTGTGTGCCTTGTGTATGACAGTCCCAAGAACAACTGTAACTCACGTTGCCTTATATGCTGATTATGATCTGTGTATCCTTTCACCAACTTACATGAGACCCCAGCGTTGCCTTATATGCTGATTATGATCTGTGTATCCTTTCACCAACTTACATGAGACCCCAGCGTTGCCTTATATGCTGATTATGATCTGTGTATCCTTTCACCAACTTACATGAGACCCCAGCGTTGCCTTATATGCTGATTATGATCTGTGTATCCTTTCACCAACTTACATGAGACCCCAGAGTTGAAAGCTCAAAGAAAACAAATGAAAACAACAGCTTTAAAAGCAGCAAAATGCAATAGGATTCATAAAGGACCACTGGCGCAGTCCTACATATCTCTGTACAGGGGGAAAAAAATCCTAGACATTACAAAAGGGAGAAACATGATGATGACGGTGTTGTTCTCAAACCAGCATTTACAAGAAAGGAAAGGGATGGGAACGGCTGCCCCCATGCAGCTGGTGCAAGGCCAGCCTCTTACCGTAGTGAGGGATGATGGCCCAAGCCATGGCAGAGGCGTAGATGCCACCGATCATCCAGAACATGCAGAGCCAGCTCAGATGCTCGCCCCGCTTCTCCCGGGCCAGCACTTCAGCAAAGTAGGAGAACACGGTGGGAATGGCTCCTCCAATCCTGCCAAGAGGTACAGAGAATACATGAGATCAGGGCCTATACGGCCAACATGAGATATGAAGGGCAGAACAAAAACAAACTCAAACAGCACATGCTCTCTTTCCATGCCAGCATACTGAGGAAGGCATATTTTCTACCATTTAATAACTTTAATATTATAGTCTCTATGTTTAATATAGGTTTATTACCTCTCAAAAAACAGGAACCTGCAATTAAGCTCTGTTACCGAAAGGTGGCAGTGGTGCCCTACTCATGTGATTTCTAGAGCTTAGTTTAAGATTCCCATGGGCTTTCTGCTCAGCGTTGAATGTTCTACATGCTATTTATAAAAAATTACAATATTTGGTATGATCTAGTGAATATTTTAATTAACACATTATAAAAATGAGATACTCTGATATGTCCCCCATGACGTGCTGACTTTGGAAACAGCCTCAAACACTTGTGGGAGGCTGTCTACAACGGTACTAACTCACCGCTACCCCACAGCAGCTGGTCCTGCAGCCCAGCCAGGCTGACGTGTTGACAAACACAGGACCAGACTGGCCCTGGCCCCAATCCAGTAGATATGGTTCTGAAGGAGTGCATGCGAAAGGGCACTGGTAGACTGAATAAGGAGCTGCTGGTTTAGATCCCGACAGAGGGGCCACCAGCTTCCCTCCACTCAGGGTAACTATGAGAGAGGCTGGCTGAGCTCTGGAGAGATGACAGCAACAGTCACCTCCACTCAGGGTAAGGTTCCCAAATGAGCGTCTATGGAATAAAAATTTTGGTCATTCTAGGGAGACGGGCCATAGATCTCATCAGAATTTCAAATAGGTCTTGACCCTCAAATTTTAAGAAGCACTGCCTAAGAAAGTAAGGTAGTATGAGGAAAGATTACTTACTTTCATTCCAAACAACATATCTTTTTTTTTTTTTTTGGTGAGGAAGATTCACTCTGAGCTAACATCTGTTGCCAATCTTCCTCTTTTTTTGCTTGAGGAAGGTTAACCCTGAGCTAACATCTGTGCCAATCTTCCTCTATTTTGTATGTGGGTTGCCGCCACAGCATGGCTTGACAAGTGGTGTAGGTCCACGCCCGGGATCCAAACCTGTGAACCTGGGGAGCCAAAGTGGAGAGCACCAGACCTAACCACTACACCAGAGGGCTAGCCCCATATATCAATTCTTAAAATAAATATTTTTTAAAAAGACGTATAACAATATAAGCAAGTTGTAGAGACAATACCTAGTGAGATAGTTTAAAAAAATGTACTGATTCCTTTATGTTTAGATTTCTGTAAGGTAAATTGCTATTGACATTTTATGTAAATTTGATGTCAAGGAGTAAAACGTATTTATCCATTTAGCAATAACTGATTTCCTTAGAGCCTTTGATATGATAAAGAAGGATTGGCAGTGACCTTAGCAAATGCAATTTAGAGAAAGGCCACATCCGTAGCAAACTGGATATACCAAACGAACCGCGGGATTCATGATGTCACTCTGTATCAACCGGTAGGTCAAAATACGGCTCCATTTCCTGTGGTCGCCCTGCTTCAGGTGAGTCGGTAGTTATCTATTGCTGGGTATGGGCAGACCACTGAGGCCAGTGTTTTTCAATCTGTGGGCTACAAAATTAACTTAGTAGCTGTAAATAGCATTTTAAAAATTGAAACAGAGATGAAACTATTTGAGTGTAACTCAGTCACTAACTGAAAGCATCTCTATCTGTTCCTCTGGCTATGAATGCAGCAGTTCTACCTAAAGTCCCTACAAGTATGACTGCACAGGCTTTCAGCTGCAGCACGTGGCGATTTAGCGCCATCACGCCAGAGGTAGCCAGCCAGGTCCAAGTCCATCAACCAGACCCCCAAACAAGAAACAAATGCACATGACGGGCGGTCAGAGATGGCTCTGTCCCACACCACGTCAGACTCACACAGCTCTCTGCCTGGCTACCTGAGGACCTCATACCATAGACAGACACTTGAATTTAAAAATTCAACAAAGTTTTGACAAATTTAAAATGGTTTCATTACAACACACAATTTTAATGGGAAATAAAAATGTCTGGGTCATAAATCATTTAACGCTACTCCTTTTTTCATTTGACATGAAGAATCCGTTTCTCTGCACCAAAAAGTCCCTGGTCCCTAATCTGTGCCTTCACCTCTCAATGCATAAAAAGAGGCCCAGGTTTGGCTGACTTTTCATGTCCTAATTAACATTCCATCAGGATTCTGGACATTCTGTATGTAGGAGCCATAACTCACACTTCCTGAAGGCTCATTGGCATGTCAAGATATGTCAGGCCACTCTGAACCGAGATAAATGTACTCCAGGGTAGCTAAGATGGCAAGTGGAAGACTGTAGACTTGCCCGTTAGTTTTAAACAAATCATAAGTTGACCTTATACAAATCTCCTGCATAAGAGAATACCAACTTTTAGAGGCTTTTAAGCAATCCAGCTGGTTTTGATTCAATGCCTCTTTTTAAGGTGGTTATTTTTGCATGAATGTCTCTCAATACCCATTTGTAAAGCAGACTGCAAGGAACTCTAATATCAAGGGATACATGAGTCTGAAAAATGAGAGAGGGAATCTATTTAAATCCTTTGCGAAGTTCTTCAGACTCAGAGACCTATAAAACCAACCGAGCATTCACACATCTTACTGCGGGCTGATCATCTATCTGGGGGACAACATGACTCCTCATCTTACTGTGACGCCCCTTAAGCAGAGAAAAAACATGACAGTGAGCTATAACGTCAACTATGACTAGGACTTCACACCCCACGAGAGTGCTTCTACATTGTTTACACTGGACTGAAGGCTCCTTGAGGGTGAGGACTACACTGTGTTCGTCTCTGAATCCCATTACCTGGCCCAGTGGACGTGCACTAAGTGTTTCCTCAGAAGAAGTGAACTTCACAAAGTCTCTCCAGTGTTGGAGGTGGCACTCCAAGCCTACTGTAGGAATCTGTTCTGATGCCCTAAGCATCTCTGGTGAATGGAAACACATCTTATGTCCTGGGTCAAGATGACCTCAAGTGAAGTCAGGAGCACTGGAATGGAAGTTCTGAGAGCAATGGAGCCCCCAAAGAGTTCTTGAATTCCTCTATGTCTTAGTTGCCATCCTCCTCCCATTGTAAGTAGGTAAAAAACCCCAAAGTTTCCCATTACTAGTCAGTCTACCTTAATATTTTGTATGAGGGGCTAATACATTTCCTCATTTGTTTTATTGTACTAAGATACAATTTCTGAGAATACAGGAAGAGATAAGAAATATTTAAATGGCAGATCTCAAATTCTCATGTGTCAGTGGTTGTTCAATAGAGCTGAGGTTGCGCCCCCCTCCCCGCAGACATTTGGCACTGTCTTGGAGACATTTTTAGTTGTTACAACTCAGGGGTGCTATTGGCATAGAGTGGGCAGAGGTTAGGGATGCTGCTAAAAATCCTACAGTATATAGACAGCACCTTTCAACAAAGAATTATCCACCCCAAATATGAGCAGTGCTGAGCTTGAGAAACTCTTGCAATGGGAATTTAATATGGAAAATATAACTTGCTTTATATGAAAAACCCACAATATAAGGCATAAAATGGTTATCTTTTACATTACCTGATAGGTAACGATCTCTAAATCCAGTTAACATGGAGACCTTTTTATTGGTCACTATATAATGATCAGTTAGCTACCGCTGAAATTTGTTCAAGTTCATTTTTTTTTTTAATTTTTTGTTTATTGCAGTAACATTGGTCTATAACATTGCAAAAATTTCAGGTGTACATCATTGTACTTCTATTTCTGCATGGACTACATCATGTTCACCACCAAAATACTAATTACAACCCATCACCACACAC